ACAACAAAAGACGGCAGGAGACAACAAAAGACGGCAGGAGACAACAAGACGGCAGGAGACAACAGAAGACGGCAGGAGACAACAAAAGACGGCAGGAGACAACAAGACGGCAGGAGACAACAAGACGGCAGGAGACAACAAGACGGCAGGAGACAACAAGACGGCAGGAGACAACAAAAGACGGCAGGAGACAACAAATGAAAATAAAATGGTAAAACAGGCGGTGTAGACAACTGAACAGGAATCGAACTGTTTGTTTAAAGCAGCTACAAAAATGACCCACTGGACCGTCCAGAACCAGTGGTCCACGACCCAGGTTCTGCTTCATCAGAACTAAACCCCGAGTTTGATGGGTCCAGTGTCTGCTGGTGGTCTCTGCAGGTCCTCATCTGACCTGATCCATGATGGACTCTGACGGTCTCACACTAGATGTGTTAAAACTGACCCAGGTCTCCTGGGGGTCAGAGACCAGCACAGCAAACACCTGTGAGGGACACACCTTGCTCCTCGGACTCCGTTGTGTGGAACATCCTGGTTACCACTGGTGACAGGTCCTGGTGGGCGGAGCCAACTGACTGACAGGTGAGGTGAACCAGATCTGAAGGAGACAGAAACAATTCAGATGATGGTTGCTGTTTCCTTGGTAACCAGCCAGGCTGTTTGACCTTTGACCTCTGCTGCCTTTGGCTGAACATCAAACATTCTGGGGGGGTGGAGCTTAGAGTTCAGATTCACTTGCAGATCCAGGAAATTTAAAGTCCAATACACGAGGAGCTCTGGCAGCACGTCACCTGAACCAGGAGACTGGAAGAAGAAAGAGTCGACTGGAGAACTTGTGTAACTTCCATAATTCCATTCAGAAAGTTCATCTTTAACAGATTATAGATTCAGGGCCCACACTTTAATCTATTTCAAGTAGTTATTTATTTTTACATAATTTGAGCTTCCAGATCATGAAACCCATGAAAACAGGATTTCAATAAATCATAATGCTGTGGAGACATCAGGCCACACTTCCCAGTTGTTGCAGACATAAATAAATAAATTAGGATCAGAACAAATCAATCAAAATATGGTTCTTTCAAATCAATATATCAATCTTCAATAATTGATTGTGAATCTTTGTCTTAATCTCTGATGTGACGTTGAGACAATCAGCCTGTGGCACTGACTGGGAGTTATGGAATTGAGACAATCAGCCTGTGGCACTGACTGGGAGTTATGGAATTGAGACAATCAGCCTGTGGCACTGACTGGGAGTTATGGAATTGAGACCATCAGCCTGTGACATTAACTGGGAGTTATGGAAGCCCAGATTTCCTTGATGCTGTCAGATCTTCTTTGTTGTTGCTCTGGTGCTCCTCATGTTCCTCTTGAGAAGACTCCATAGATTCTCAATGGGGTTTAGGTCCGACCAGTTGGCTGGCCAGTCAGGCACTGTGGCATCAAACCAGGTTCTGGTGCTTCTGGCAGCATGGGCAGTGACCAGGTCCTGCTGGAAGATGAACTCTGCATCTCCATACAGATCCTCAGCAGAAGGACTCATGAAGTCCTCTACAACATAATGGTCACATTACATCTGTATTATAACTGAATACTCCATCTGTACTGTTCTCTAAGCTTTTTATTGTTTTCTATTGTATGGGTGTACATATGGTTATGTTATGGTTTTAATTTTACTTTATTTGTGGGTGTACACAGGCTTATGTCTTGTGTAATGTTCTCATTTTTACTTAATTTTTACTTTATTTTTACTTTATTTTACTTTATTACTATTCGCACCTTATGTCAAAGCAAATTCCTAGTTTGTGAACCTCGTTCATTGACGTGGCGATAATAAACTGATTCTGATTCTGATTCTGAACATTCTGGTAGACTGTTGCTGTGACCTTGGATTGAAGAAAGCAGAGTTTACCAACACTGCACCCAGATCATGACTGACTGTGGATATTTCACACTGGACCTCAACCAGTATGGGTTCTGTTCCTCATCCTTCTTCATCCAAACCCTTGGACCTTGATTTCTGAATGAAAGACACTTTACTTTCATCTGAAAAGAGGACCGAGGAACCCAACAGTTGTAGCCCATCTCCTGGATGAGTCTGAATGTGGTGGTTTTTGAAGCTGTGACTCTGCCTCATTCCACTCTTTCTGGATCTCTGACAGATTCTGGATCTTCTCTGTTTGATGATCCACTGAAGCCCACGGTCATCTCTGTTGCTGGTGCATCTTCTCCTGCCACATGTTGTCCTTCCACTAGACTTTCCATGGATGTGCTTGGACACAGCGCTCTATGAACAGCCAGTCTCCTTAGCTATGAACTGTTGTGTCTTACCCATCCTATGGAGGGTCTCAGTGATGGTCTTCTGGACAGATGTTCTGTCTGCAGTCTTCACCATATTGAACTGAACTGAGACAATTGAATGACACCTGGGGAAACCTGTGCAGGTGCTTTGAGTTTAGTAGATGATTAGTGTCACACTCAGTTTAAAACATTCATGTCCTGCAACATTTGGCCTGATGTCTCCACAGTATTCTAATTTTTTTAAATTCTGTTTTTTGTGGGTTTCATGAGCTGGAAGCTCAAATTATGTAAAAATAAACAAATAAATAGTTGAAATAGTTTAAATTGTGGTCCCTGAATCTATCATCTATTAAAGATGAACTTTTTCAATGGAATTATGGAAGTTAAACAACTTTTCCATGATATTCTAATTTTCTGGAAAGTGTCTGTAATCAAACTGTCTATGATGAACCCTGTCCATCAGGAAACATGGCGGCACGATGGATCAGTGGTTAGCACTGTTGCCTCACAGCAAGAAGGTCCTGGGTTCAATCCCCGGTTGGACCTGGGGTCTTTCTGTGTGGAGTCTGCATGTTCTTCTCGTGCTGCGTGGGTTTTCTCCGGGTACTCCGGCTTCCTCCCACAGATCAAAAACATGCCTGTTAGTCTGCTTCAGGTCCAGACCTCCCTTCAAAAGATCTGTGATGTCATTGGGATTTGCCTGGTTAAAGAAAGGTTAATAAAAAGATTTGATCTCAGAGCATTTTATTGACACAAGACTAAAGGAGTTTTTGTAAGATCAAGAAAGACGTGTCTGGAACATGGAGAACAGAATTCAACCTATTTCTTCAACTTAGAAAGACTTCATGGAACCCAACAACTCAAGCCAACATTTTTCAGTCAGGTCATCTGGACACTTTCTTTTTTTATGCTGAAACAGTTCACCTTCGATCCAGAAGGCTTCATCAGTCAAGGAAACGCACAACAACTCCACTTTGGAGTAAGCTGTTGGGGGAAGCCTCAGTTTTCCTTGACTTATGAAGCCTTCTGGATTGAAGGCGAAACGTTTCAGCATAAAAAAAAGAAAGTGTCCAGATGACCTGACTGAAAAATGTTGTTATGTACACCTGGATTATTGAGCATGGACTTTGTTGTTATCAACTCAACATGAATGGTGTTTTAAGTGATGACTCAAGGAGAATCACACATTCCTGCTCTAATTTCTAACTTTATTAAAGAAGCTGAGAAACCAGCCGGAGCTCCAACCTTTGACCCCGCGGTGACACCAGCTGGTCCTTCGTGCTTTTCAGTCAAATTCAAACAATAATCGTTCTATGAGGTCACTACTTCAAGCACATGTCACCACTATCCCCATGTCACTGGGCTGAACTGGGTCAGTGTGTGGAAACTGCCATGCAGATAGTTAGTGATAAAGCAGAAGAATCTGCAGGTGTCACTCTGCCAAACAGTACATGTTAAGATGTGCTGAAGATGTTTGTGTGAACTGCTCCGTGAGTCTGGACCTGAAACTGTGATCCAGATGTTCTGGTTCTGTCACACGACTGCCTCCGTCTGGAAACAAGTCGTAAGAAGAACAAGTGCTGTGTGTCGTCACTGCGTGTTCCCGTACAACGGCAGAACGAGTTCTGTGCGTTTCACCATCGCACCTGGGATGCAGCCAGGTGGAGCAGTGGGCACATGTGTAAAGTGTCCGGGGAGCAACTGGGGATTAGGCGTCTTGCTCAGAGACACCACGACATGTGGGCATGGCGGGGATTGAACCTGAGACTTTCGAGTCCCAAGTCGGCTGCCCGGCCTCTACCCCATCATCATCTGGTTTATCCAGAGAAACACGGACTCTCATGAACTGTTTGCAGTTCGAGCAGCCAAACGTCAGTGCAGGAAAGCCCAACGTAAATGGAAGAAGGACAAACGTCACGTTTCTTTATCATGCTAAAATCATGTTACAAAGAGTACCAGGCCACTGTTAAATCAGAAAAATCAAATATTTCTCCCAAATCATCGCCTCAAACAGCCACAATCCCCTCGTTCTTTTCAACACCATTAACTCCATTTGAACCGTGTCAGTCTGACAACTGGGAGGTCTCTGCAGTTACGTGTGACGACTTTACCAGTTTCTTTGTGAAAAAGGTCGAGTCGATCAGGTCCCTGATTCCTCACACCACAGCTGACCCCTCTGTCTTTGTCCCCTCCACATCAGTCTTTAACCAGTTTGAACCAGTTCCCTCTCATTTCTAAATGACGTCATTGGTCATATGAAACCCTCAGGTTCCCCTGCTGACCCCATCCCTGCATGGTTTTTTAAACAAGTCCTACCTCCATTGGACCCTCTGTTCTTGACATTATAAACAGCAGTATGGCTGCAGGTGTGGTTCCAGACACTTTTAAACATGCAGTGGTAACTCCTTTAATAAAAACAACCCGGACTTGACCCTTCAACCTGCTCAAACTTCAGACACATTTCCAAAGTTCCCTTTCTTTCATAGATCTTGGAGAAAATAGTTTTCACTCAATTAAACGAGTTCTTGAGTGGAAATTCTATTCTTGAGATCTTTCAGTCTGGCTTTAAGAAACTACCAGCACCGAAACAGCCTTAGTTAGGGTCTGCAACGACATTCTTCTGGCAAATGACTCTGGTCAGTCTGTGGTCCTGGTACTCCTTGACCTTACCGCTGCATTTGATACTGTGGACCACAGTGTCCTTTTGTCCCGGCTAGAACACTGGGTTGGGATTACTGGTGCAGCGTTAAGCCCCCAGTATACCGCTGCGTACGTCCGTTCACGCATACGTATGCGTGTACTGTACACAGAGGGTTCAGACGTCATACTCCAGCGTACACCCTGAGCAGCTCCAGAGCAGCTTCACAGACAAGGGGCGTTTACCTTCGGGACAAAATGAGGTCGCCGATTGGTCATTTGCTGACACGCCTACTGGATTGATTGACAGGTCAGAAAAAAGAAAAAAAAGTGAGTGCTGGCAGCCTCAGCCACAACAATGTTCTGTGTTTATACGTTGTTCATAAAAAGCCTTGCACCTTCATACCTCTCTGACCTCCTTCATCCTTATTCTCCTTCTCGGGCCTTGAGATCATCAGACCAGCTGCTTTTGGCCGTACCAAAAACCAGTGAAGCTCAGAGGAGATCGAGTGTTTTCAGTCGTGGGCCCTAAACTCTGGAACAATCTGCCCATCAACATTCAACAGGCCACCTCAGTCTCTGCTTTTAAATCTCTCCTAAAAACACATCTGTACTCACTGACACATCTGTACTCACTGACACATCTGTACTCACTGACACATCTGTACTTACTGACACATCTGTACTCACTGACACACCTGTACTCACTGACACATCTGTACTCACTGACACATCTGTACTCACTGACACATCTGTACTCCCTGACACATCTGTACTCACTGACACATCTGTAGTCACTGACACATCTGTAATCCCTGACATTTAACGCAGGGTGATTTGATTTAGTATTTCATTGCTTCTCATTATATTTCATGTTGCTGTAATATGTTGTTATTAATATTTGATGCTGTGATCTTTTTTGGTAGCACTTTGATAAGTTACTGTTTTAAATGTGCTCTATAAATAAATGTGACTTGACTTGGAGTCGATGATGTCACAGATGGGAAGAAGTAGAGATCATGAGTTTGATCTGTTGCTGTTTTCAAACGTCGTCCTGACTCCAACAAGAACAAAGTGAAAACATTTGATCTTATTGAATGTGTTTACTCCAATAATCCTGTTTGTTTGTTATTGATTACTGTTGTGTAATGTTTTATTTTAATAAAGATGAACAACCTGCACATACAGGAAACAACAGGAAGTGTTCGTTTACACTTCCTGTGTACTTCCTGCTCTGATCCAGAACTGAACCAGGTCTGATCCAGATTCACTAAAACAGCTGAATCTACCGAGGTGCCTTTGAGCCTCACTTCATCAGAACCAGAACTCACAGGTCCCAGGGGCGCAGGTCATGGTGGATGAGCACAGCTCCACCATCTTCACCGTGGGACCACCAGGTGACGCTGGAGGGACGGTTACCATGGAAACCTGCAGAGACAGACGGTCACCTGCTGATGTCCCTCAGAGGTCAGAACACCTGTCAGGTAGGCTCACCTGCTGGTCCGATGGTCCGGGCAGAACCGAGGAGTCTGTGATGAGCACGGCTCGACTCAAACACCTGGACACAAACCAGAGGAGGCGGGGCCAAAGGAGGAGCGTCAGTCAGAGTAACAAACAGCTTCCTGGTTCTGATTGGTGGATTCTGACCTGGGGGGCGTGGCCATCTTCCTGTCTGAAGCCATGGAGCCGTCCTCCACCACAAAATGGCTGCAGTTGATTCGCTGTCCTCGGCTGTCAATCACAGCCTTACACCTGGAGCAGAGGAGATGCCATCATTAGACCCCACCCACATGTTAAATTTAGAAAGCATTTGTGTCAGTAAAATATTTGGTGTACACACAGAGCGGCGTGCACTGTACCTGTTGGTGTCTCTGTCCACGATGAGACAGTGGACGGAGTGTCTAAGGCAGTAGACCCCTCCAAACACAGCACACATCCTAAACACAAACAAACAGTGAGCTGGGCCCAGGTACCATCAGAAACAGAACCAGCAGGGTCACAGGTGGGTCCTACCTGCAGAAACACTGAGGAATCTCTCCCAGGCCGTACACAGGAAACAGGAAAGGTGTGTTGCCATAGCGACCCAGGCAGCGCAGGAAATGGCGCGTGGAGGCCAGCCCCTCCAATGTGGGTGTGTCCTCTGTTACCATAGCGATGGAGTGCAACAGGAAGTGCTGTAAATTGTCCCCAAGCTGCTGGTCCTGCAGGAAGTCCAAATACGGTCGACTGTTGTAGGCTGAAAGAACAGACACAACTTTTTTTTTTTTACCCACAATGCAATGTGAAATAGATGAGGAAGTGATGGGTAGGTTTGGTGTCAAGGAAAGAAACCAGGAAGGACAGATGGTGGTGGATTTCACCAAGAGAATGTAAATGGCTGTAGTCAACACCTGTTTCCAAAAGAGGGAGGAGCATAGAGTGACCTATAAGAGTGGAGGAAGGAGTACGCAGGTCGACTACATTCTGTGTAGAAGAGGAAACCTGAGGGAGATTGGAGACTGTAAGGTTGTGGCAGGGGAGGGCGTGGCCAGACAGCATCGGATGGTTGTGTGTAGAATGACTGTTGTTGTGAAGAAGAGAAAAAGAGTAAAATCAGAGAAGAAGACCAAATGGTGGAAGATGAAGAAGGAAGAATGTTGTGATAAATTCAGAGAGGAGCTGTTAAAGGCTCTGGGTGGTAAGAAAGAGCTTCCAGATGACTGGACTACTACAGCAACAGTAATTAGAGAGACAGGTAGGAAGGTACTTGGTGTGTCATCTGGACAGAGAATGGATGATCAGGAAACCTGGTGGTGGAATAGTGAAGTGCAGGAAGATGTTCAAAGAAAGAGGTTAGCCAAGAAGAAATATGACAGTGAGAGGACTGAAGAGAGGAGACAGGAATATAAGGAGATGGGATGAAAAACAAAGAGGGAAGTAGGTAAGGCAAAGCAGAAGGTGTATGATGAGTTGTATGGGAGACTGGACACTAAAGAGGGCGAGAAGGACTTGTACTGATTGGAGAGACAGAGGGATCAGGCTGGAAAGGATGTGCAGCAGGTTAGGCTTATTAAAGATAGGAATGGTAATGTTCTATCAAGTGAGGAGAGTGTGACGGGAATATGGAAGGAGTACTTTGAGGAGCTAATGAATGAAGAGAATGAAAATGACGAAGAGTAGAGGTCATAGAAACTGTGGACCAGGAAGTGGGAAAGATTAGTGAGGGTGAAGTCCGGAAAGCTCTGAAAAGAATGAAGAAGGGGAAGGCAGTAGGACCTGATGATAATAATAATAATACATTTTATTTGTAGGCGCCTTTCTTGGCACTCAATGTCATTTTACATTGTCAATCATAAAAACAGACACAATATTATACACACAGTAAAAACAAGTAAAACAGAATTAAAATAAGACAATGCAGTTGCAATCACAGAGTGTAGGCTTCTTTAAACAGATGAGTTTTGAGTTTGACTTTGAAATGTGGCAGTGAGTCTGTAGTACGAATATCATGTGGGAGTGAGTTCCAGAGCAGCTGAATGCTCTGCTCCCCATCGTAACAAGACGGGCAAGGGGAACAATGAGCTGAATAGAAGAAGAGGATCTGAGGGTACGAGCGGGTGTAGCCATGTGAATAAGGTCCGAAAGGTATGGAGGAGCGAGGTGGTGGACAGCTTTGAAGGTAAGGAGGAGTATTTTGTAGTTGATGCGATATGGGATGGGAAGCCAGTGAAGTTGTTGTAAAACAGGTGATGTGATGGATGTAATGATACGGGCAGCTGAATTTTGGACCAGTTGTAATTTATGGAGGGTTTTCTGAGGTAGGCCAAAAAGAAGAGCATTACAATAATCTGTCAATAGTCTGTCCTTATCAATATTCCAATACATATTGAACATTATTATTGATATTGTTTATCTTATTTCTTATATATTGTATTGTTTATTAACATGTTTTTTTTTTTCATTTACCTTTATTTATCCAGGTTAGTCTCATTGAGCCACGAGAACTCATTTTCAAGAGAGACCTGTTTTGGGGGTTAAGGGCCTTGCTCATGGGCCCAGGGTGGGGTGAATGAGGGTGGGGGCAAATGTGGGTGTTTCACCTACCCCACCCACAATTTTGATGTTGTCGGGGCCGGGGCGTGAACCGGTGATCTTCGGATCACAGGCCCACCTCTCTAACCTCTGTGCCACCACTCCCCAAAAAAATTTAAAAATTTCTCCCCAAAATTTAGGAACTTTTGTGTGAAATCTTTTTATCTTTTTATCTGTTGCTGCTGATACACTGGAATTTCCCATCCGTGGGACAATAAAGGCTGTTTCTATTCTATTCTATTCTATTCTATTCTATTCTGTTCTGTTCTATTCTATTCTATTCTATTCTATTCTATTCTATTCTATTCTATTCTATTCTATTCTACTCTATTCTATTCTACTCTATTCTATTCTATTCTATTCTATTTTATTCTATTCTACTCTATTCTATTCTATTCTACTCTATTCTATTCTATTCTATTCTGTTCTATTCTATTCAATTCTACTCTATTCTATTCTATTCTATTCTATTCTGTTCTATACTATTCTATTCTACTCTATTCTATTCTATTCTGTTCTATACTATTCTATTCTAAACGAGAGGTGACCAGACTGTGGAGCAGAACAGCAGTGGAGTGAGGGAAGGACGGAGACGATGAATATTTGGAAGATGAAAGGAGGCTGACCGAGTGATATTATTGACATGAGAGGAAAAGGAGAGGGTGCTATCAAGGATGACACCCAGACTCTTAACCTGATAGGAGGGAGAGATGGAAGAGTTATCAACCAGAATGGAAAAGCTATGAAGTTTATTTAGTATTGATTTAGTGCCAATTAAAACAAGTTCTGTTTTATTGCAATTTAGTTTAAGAAAGTTTGAAGTGAACCAGTGTTTTACTTCAAGCAGACAATCAGTGAGGGACGAAGGTGGAAGTGTTGAGTTAGGTTTGGTTGAGAGATAGAGTTGGGTGTCATCCGCGTAGCAGTGAAACTGAATATGATGTTTGTGAAAAATGAAACCAAGGGGAGAAGGTAAATGATAAACAACAAGGGTCCCAGGACAGAGCCCTGTGGAACACCTGAGGTAACAGATACAGGATGAGATATGGAAGATTTTAACTGAACAAACTGAGTGCGGCCTGAAAGGTATGACTGGAACCAGCTGAGAGGTGTATTTACAATGCCAAGTGAGGAAAGTCTGTCCAGAAGAATATTGTGTGAAAAAGTATCAAAGGCCGTCGTCAGATCAAGCAGGAGGAGTTTGGATAATAAACCAGAATCAGCAGCAAGGAGAAGGTCATTGGTGATTTTAATGAGTGCTGTTTCAGTACTGTGGAGTGGACGGAAACCAGATTGAAAATGTTCATATAAATTATTGCAAGACAGGTGAGCATGAAGTTGAGCAGCTACTGTTTTTCAAGAATTTTGGAGATGAATGGAAGATTTGAAATGGGGCGAAAATTATTGAGGTTGTTGGGATCTAAACCAGGTTTTTTGAGTATTGGAGTTCCAGAGTTCTAGAATTGCGACGCTCCAGGTGGCTGCATGTTGGAGCAGCTCTGTTACTTTCATTCTGAGATTTTGCTTTTAGAAACTTTAATTCCTCTTTTTCTGGATGTAAATCACATTTTTTGGATGATTGTTTCCTCTGGTATCAGATGCTGTGCAGCTGGAAGGATTTTTACTGAAACTTTTTTAGTTTTGGATATTTGTTATCATGCATAACCATGGCAACAAGGCTGTTTTCTACAACAACAGCAGCTGATTAACATCTCAAAAGCTCAAATAATATATCAACTATGGCCCCAACTCTCAAATGAGTTGAAAAGGATGCTCTGTGGATGCATTCTCATCTACCTGCCAGCTGTGATCGAGTGCCTGACCACTGAGATCCTGGAACTAGAAGGAAACACGGCTCATGACAGCAGAAGGACAGGATCGTCCCTCAGCACCTACAGTTGGCTGTCCACAGCAACGAGGAGCTCGGCAGGCTACTGGGAGGAGTGGTCATCACTCTGGGAGTTCTGCCCAGCATTCGGGTGGTCCTACAGCCCGGGGGAACTGAGAGGGCAGCTGAGTCTGGGTGGACGGATCGGACGGCATCTGCAGCCAGTTTCTTAGGATCCGCTGTGGGATGGACCTTTACAAGAGATCCTTCCCGTCTACAGCATCAGCATCTATAACATCTCTTAATGAAATGAGGATAACGAGTTACAACAACAAATAATTTCCCTCTGGGATTAATAAAGTATTTTTGAATTGAATTGAATTATTGGAGTTACAGCAGCTGTTTTGAGAGCAAGGGGAACAATGCCAGTAGTAAGGGAAGAATGTATAATATCTGTGATGAAAGGGGACAGAGAGGGAAGGGTAGCTTTAACAAGAACAGTTGGAAGGGGATCTAATTGACAAGTTGAAGATTTTGATTTTTGAATTAATTTGGAGATGTCATTGATTGAGGGGGGAGTAAATACAGAAAGTGAATTTGTAGGGGCAGCTGGAACTGGAACAGATGACATTAAAGCCACAGTGGGTGGCAATTTTTGGTGGATATGTGTAATTTTTGAAGAAAAAAAATGATACCAACGTGTTACACAAATCAGAGGAATACAAATGAGGAGGAAGTGAATCAGGTGGTTTTGTAATATTTGCAAGTATGGAGAAGAAGAGGGCCTTGGATTTACCCTCATTTGAACTGATTAAACTGGAGTAATAAATGGAATTGGCTGTAGAAGTGGAGTCTTTGTAGAGAAGAATGTGATTTGAATACATGTCTTTGTGCACAGTGAGACCAGTTTTCCTATAGAGTCTTTCAAGTTGACGTCCTTTTGCTTTTAACTGTCTAAGGGTGGAAGTAAACCAAGGTGCAGTATGAGTGAATGAAACTGATCTGGTTTTAAGTGGAGCAAGATTGTTTAGAAGGTTATGAAGGTATTTGTTATAGTGTGAGAGCAGTTCATCAGGGGTAGAAAACTGGTCAGCACTGGGAAGATTACTGATACCAGAGGATAAATTATCCAAGTTAATGTCCTTAATTTTACAAAAAGTTATAGTACGTGGGGGGTTAGACTTAGAAAGAAAAATATTAACTCCAAATGATAGAAACATGTGATCTGA